CTGTCTGTTCCCTATAGAATCTTTTTTAAAATAATGTTAACTAGGGAAAAAAGTATAGCAGACACAGCTGTAATCTGTTGATCAATGTTTGGTTTGAACTTTGATTTTTCAGTCTTCCATATTTGAAAGTCAGTGACAGAGAGACAGGCAGAGAGCAAGCATCCATCTGCTGGTTCTCTCCCCAGATGGCCAGGCTGAAGCCAGGAGCTTGACCTGGGTCTCCCCATGTGGAGACAGGGGCCCCAAACACTTGAGCCATCCATATTCTGCTGCTTTTCCCAAGCCATTAGCAGAGCGCTCAGACATGAACCAGGCACTCATACTAGATTGCATGGCAGGTGGCAGTTTTATTAAGCCACCATGCCAAACCCAAGTTTCTCTGTGTGTGCCGTCCTATGGCTACTTAGCCTTACAGTCTCTAGCATAAACAGAGGTATCATAAATGTCTCAGACAAGGGAACTTGGCAGTCCAGAGTGCAGACCACCATGTAAAATGTGTGTCTGGAAAGGAACGGTTTTCTGTAGGACAAGAAAGCTACCTAAGGACAGTAAGTGGTTCTGAAAGCTCCTACTTACCTTCTCCTGTCATCTGATACTCCAAGCGCTTCTCTAGCTGGAGTGTGCCTGTCACCGCGTGGGGCGTCCCTGCTGGAGGTTCTGGTCCCACGTTGCCACTTCTGCATGTGACACTGCAGTGCCAGGGGAGATGAGCGCCTTTCACTTTCCGTGTTGTGGGCTGTTTGTTGAAATGTCTGTCTAGACAGATTTATACTGAAAATATTTCTCTCCCTCCAGAATATGAGAACATTGGGACTTCACTCTTAGACTGTGGATTTTTTGAAGACACAATTTTAAATTTTGCAGCAGGTATGAGTTATAGAACAAGCAGCACAATTTAGAAATAGTTGTCACTCTAGGTTAAAATATTTTAGAAGAATGCTCATTACATAAAAAGCCTGTCACCAAAACGGTTATTACTCCTACATATAGACCACAGAGGAAACAAAACCTAAATACACAGGGACACCGCACCCACTGTACCCTACGGAAATAGTAGTGGGCTGGATTTATAATTGTTTTTTTAGTGCCTGTATTATTCAGATTTCCTGCATAATACAGATGCTTTGTTTCTACTTTATGACTTTTCTGACACATATAAAAGTTCCAAGCTAGGGCTATTTTGTACCCACACGGGCAGACAGGAGCTGGCGAGGCCAGGGCTGGTTGCCTCCCCGTACTCTGGGGAGATGGTGAAATCTCATTCTCCCAAAGTTCATTGGGGATGGTGGGGAGAATAACCTAGACATTTCTGTGGAGGAAGAAAACCCGGTGTTACAAGGGAGGGAGGCCACTTTTGGGTAATGTGTCAATCATCTATTGAATCCTCAATCAAGGCAAGGCAAATGGCCTCTTAGGAGCCTGATGTGACTTGTCAAGGCTGCCACCCCCAGAGGGCTGCCTGTGCCCTGGCCTTCGCTGCATGAGAGGCAACCACCCCGTTCACCAGGAGTGGCTCTCCCGGTGTCTCCCAGCACCTGCTCGCCCTTCCCTCACACGAGGGTGTGTGTCAGTAGGTTATCCCTGTCTGAGCATACACACACTGCTTCTATCACACATCCGTTTGAATTCTATGTTACATTATCCAAAAAGACATTCTAAAAAATTTGCCAAATGAATCTTTTAAGAGTCTCTTGAACATGGTTGCTAGTGAGAATTACCATGTTCTTAAAAATTAGTCTTCAATGTCTTTCTAGAAAGCTTTGCTTTTTGGAGATACTCCTCTGCTGATCACATAAAAGTTGCATCTTTAGGACATGTCACACATAGCACTAGTGGTTTTAAAGCTTCCTTGTAAGCTTTTCCCGAAAGTCACAGTCACTGAATGCTACTCACAAACCCCAACTAAAGTTAACTTCTAAGTTTCCACAAGTCTTCCGATTTCTGAATTACACCGGAAGCTATTACAAATCAGATGTACATCTGTTGAGAGACGGACCCTGTCCTTGGCACTTCAGCCACATTCTTTCCAAACTTCATCTCAGCCAATGAGACAGTGTTCAATTCTCAGAGATGCTCTAAACGTATACGGAGTCCTAAGGATTTAATGGCTGCTTTAGGTGTGATAAATGTTAGAATCTGGTGAAGCAGGAGAGGAAGTAAACGTGTAAAAGAACCATTTTGTGTTCATAAGAGATGATTTTAAGACAAGCATCCCAAGCACTATGCACTTGCAAGGAAAGTGTGGCAAAAATAGTATATTCTTTCTAATAGAACCACTGAAGATCTAAAATCACTTTTTTCTTTTCAAAGCAATAGAGAAGAAAATCGATGAATCTGAAGAAAGACAGCAGCAGCTAAAGAAGGAGATTGAACTACTCAAGGGCTTAAAACAAAGCGTGTGCTGTTCTCCAGACAATACAGACCTTATATCAAGTTCCACTTCGATGTCATCCCTGTCTTCTTGAGGACTGCCATTTCCTCAGCTAGAAGCCAGCAAGTTCAAAACCACACAGCACTGTGAAAGCCTCACATCTTTGGGACCAGTCTTTGTTTGCTGAGCCATAAACAGCAACACCTACTGCCTGCCACCTGTTCTTACAGAATTGGTATTTCATGCCCTCCTACCTCTCCAATAAAATCTTTTTCAGATTCTGCTCAAGTACTTTGGATTCCATCTCCAACCCCACTCGGTGTGTGCGCTCGGGACCCTCTGGGTGAATCCCTGCTGGTGCGCTCCTCCCCCGCCCCTCCGTGATTTAAGGTGATTTAAGTAGAAGTGCTCCTAACCCCAGGGTCCGTAGTGTAAACCTTTTGGACTTTTTCAAGACCAGTTCAAGCCTGGAATCACACTAGGCAGAACAGACATGAACATATTGCTGCTACATGCACCCATTTTCTTACCTCTGCTTTTTAAAGATGTTTCAGTTGGGCTCAGCGTGGCAGCCTAGTGGCTAAAGTCCTTACCTTGCACACACCAGGATCCCATACAGGTGCCAGTTTTAATCCCAGAGGTCCTGCTTCCCATCCAGCTCCCTGCTTGTGGCCTGGGAAAGCAGTCGAGGACTGCCCAAAGCCTTGGAACCCTGCACCGTGTGGGAGACAGCAATTGCGGCCACTTGGGGAGTGAATCAGCAGATGGAAAAATCTTCATGTCTGTATATCTGGCTTTCCAATAAAAATAAATAAATCTTTTAAACACATACACATCCATTTTCAAAATCAACACCTAAATTTGAAAAGCTAGACCCTTAGAAACATTAGTGGGAACGTAAAAGGGTGAAAAAGATGTGTTCGTATCACCCAGGCAGACCCTTAGGAACATTCCCAATTCTCATTTCCCCCCTTGGCAGTGCGCAGTAACGCGTGGGGTTCACCCGAGTCCGGTGTGGCGTCTGGCATGTAGTACGCACTCAGCATGTCTGCAAAAGGAAGGGCTTGTAACTGTTTCTATGATGAAATGCCAGAGAAAATTTACTTTTTGAAGAGGTTGATTTTGACGCTCAGTCCTGGAGGGTCAGATCAAGATGAGGCTCCAAAGTTGAAGTGTCCAGTCAGGAGTGGCCTTGCTGGTAGTCACATGACAAGAGAACACACAAGCAGCTCTTAAAGAGCCACCAGGATTTGAGATGGGGGATCCACTGGCACCCAGGGCCTCACCTTGAAACATCATAATTGGGTTGTTTTTCCTAGTTACAATAGCTATAACCTCATGAGGTCAAGTTTACTACCAATAAAGATGACTGGAGAAATAGAAAAAAAAAAAATAGCTGTAACCTCAGCTTCCTATTATGTCTTGGAACGAAGCTTATGTAGTAGTACTGAGGTGATTATTTTTACTATAAAATTAACTTTTAATAAAAATCCTCTACTATCACTTAAGGTAGATAATATGTCAGTGGGGCACACCTTAGGAGTCCTAAAAGTAAGCAAATCCCAGGCAAACTACTGTCACAGACCTGGGATTTGTGCTTTAGCTGTGTCCCTACTGGAGAGCTTTAATTACTTATCTACTCTAGCCTATTTTTGCCTAATTTAGACACTATAATATGAACACTGTGGATACACACATACACATACTCTCTCTGGCTCTCTCTCTCTCTCTCCCCCTCTCCCTTGTTGCAGACACTGGCTTAATCCTTGCCAGACTTATGGCAATTTCTAGAAGGCTTATCAGCTCCCATCTTTATGGCCGTCTCTACCTGCCACTTACCTGTTGGAGATGAGCTGAAGAACACGTTACCTGCTCTCCACTCCCATGTCTCATACGGTCTTAACTGGTCAGGTCGAGTGAAAGCTGTTCATAAGTGCCTTCGTGAGTTCATTCTTAACCATATTCTCCTTGAGGATAGGAACCATCTTCCCTTCATTTGTAATAATTACCTCCAAAGGATCCAGACAGGTCTTTCTGCTGCCTCCCAGGATGAACAGTAGCAGGAAGCTGGAGTTGTAGTACAGCTGGAACTTGAACTCGGGAATGCACTTGGGCATGAAGTGCAGGCAACCCAAGTGGCATCTCAGCCACTGCACCCAATGCCCATCCCAAACCCAGAGACTGAGAACCAACTGGTGACGTGGTCCTGATCATGCCCATTTTTAGCCAGATACCTTCCAATAATAATAGTACTGACTTTTCAGAACCCATCAAAAGAAAATAAAACTTAACTCAACCACTTTTAAACTGTACACCTTATAGCCATTGAGTAGGTTCACACTGCTGGGCAACAGTCACCACCATTCAAAAGGCCTTGCATCTTGCAAAATTGAAATTACCCATCACTCTTCCCAGCCTCTGGTCACCTCCATTTCTACTTTTTATGTCTATCAGTCATCAAGCAGCTACCTCACATAAGAGGAATCGCATGCTATTTCTCTTCATGACTGGCTTATTTCACTTCGCACAACTCATCATAGTCCATCCATGAAGTACCAAGTGTCAGCATCATCCCCTTCCTGTTACAGAGAATACTGACACTACCAACTCTAAGAAACACTCTACATGCTTGTTTTAACAGCGTATTTATTAGTATGTCATTCTTAACATTACATAAATACAGCTTACATACTAGAATATCAAACATTGTTCCAGTAAGAAGTTCAAGAGCACATCATGGGTGGTTTTGAGAAATGTAAATACTTTGGCTTCCATTATTATATCAGATGAAAAAAAGCCAATTCAAGCAATAGTTTTTATTTCCTATGATCAACAACAAAACCAAGTAGAAAAATAAAAACTTTAAAAAAAGATCCTCAAGTACTTTTGGAAGGTCTAACTCTCCTCATTTCCCTGCATGCAGGTTTCTCAGTGACCTAATGAGAAGTGGTTCTTGATCTATGTCAGAAACTTAGTAGATGCTGCATGGATCAATGAATCTGCCTCTACTACTTCAATTTGTGCTTTTTTTTTTTTTTAAAGATTTCTCAAGAGCAATAGCACACACACTGAAGTTCTCCTTTTGTTCAGATCATAAGCCTAAGGAGCAGTGATGTTGCAAATACTATCTCTAAACACTGCCAGTAATCTGGGTGATGTGCATTCAACCCAGGAAGAAAACTGCGCCCATGCTGCAGAGCTAATTCTAGCCCAGTGATTCACTAGGCGTGGGTGATGTGATCAAGAAAAAGAGGCTGGGACTTGCAGCTTCTGACTTCTGTCACCACCAATGAATTCCACACACGCATTCGAATACATGGTGGAGAATGACAGCAAGCAGCGTGGCTTCAAGCCCTTTATTAATTTGGCTCTGAGAAAGCCGGTGGGCTCCATGTTCAGAAGGGAGTCCCTGCAGGGGGAAAACGAGATCCAAGAAGGGAGCTCACACGAGGGTGGACCAGACTCAGCAGCCAGATGCTCCTGGAGCCCTCGGCCGCCGTGCTCCGTAACCAGGCCAAAAAGACAGATGTTTTTTAAATAGGATCTTGTCATGAAGATCAAAGTTTCAGCCTTTAAAGTTAAACTGTGCTAAGTATTCTACCAAACACAATTTAGAAGTAGAACAAAATGCAAAGTAGGGAAGTTTCAAATGGGCACATCTATGAGGATATTTGGTCAAGAGAAAATAAAACAAATTCCATTAAGTCCTGGAAGAAAGCTGGCTGTAAGAACCACTTCAAGTCATACATAGCTAGTGACAACCTGGCAGCCACGCGCTGTTGTGTCATATACCTCCCAGGAGTAAGCATTTATAGGGCAAAGGGTAGGGGTGGGGCGGCAGTCTACTTGAGTTTATAAAGTAACAAAACGAAACCTTATTGTTTAAGTAATGGATGAGTAGTGGAGCTTCTAATTCATTATCAGCTTTGTGACAGTTCTAAAAACTACTCCTTATGCACTTAAATCTGAAGAAGTCTTGGCTAACCTAGAAATTTATCTTTACGTAATTGTTTCAATAAGTTTAACCCATGTTAAATGTTTTGTTTTGTTTTTTTTGCTACACCTTGAGTTTAAGAAGCCATCAATACACAAGCACACAAACAGCCTCTCACACCCCACTACGGCCAGGCTACCATCAACCTAGCACCAGCCACCAGCCAGGGATTCCACACGCCCTACCCTCAGGGGCTGGCCCCCACCTGCGGTGCAGGAGGAGGGGCCTCTCCTCACAACACATCTCCAGTATCCAAGCCAGGATGCTACAGGAGCTGGAACTGCTGTCACTAAGGTCCCTTTTCAAGTTCAGAAGTTCCTCTGGCCAAAACGGAGAATGGAGACAGCAAATGGAAATCGTTTTCCCAGGGTCCCAGCCCAAATCTAAGAAAGGTTGCATTTAAAATATACACGTTTCTAACAGCTCAGGGAAGCTGGGCATCCTTCCTGTAATCCCTACAGAGGTGGGAGGAAACACGGCCTCGTGGTGTTTTTACCTGCAGCATCACATCACCCGAAGAGCACAAACCGGACACGCCTACCGCACCCCTGAGCACGCACACAAAACCCCGCAGCCTGGCGCTTCAGTTCTTAAAGGCTCCACATTTACTGGCTTTAGCAATGAACTCCTTTAGCAGGGGGCCATCCATTTGCCAAAATGCTGCAGTCTGCGTGACTTCTGTCAAATGATTGATGCAAAACTTAAAGCAGAATTCTTCTAAATCCTGGACACACAACAAAAATAAAAACAAGAAGAGGCCATTTTTTATTAGCTGTGATTGAATTAACTCCTCTCCAACCCCCTCACCCCAAATCTTGGGCCCTCCCCCAGAAATAATATTTGAGAGGCCAGTTACTTCAAACCAGGCAAACACAAGGCCACGGGTCAAGGTCAAACACTAGTCACAAACCAGCGAGTGCAGCAGCTCCCTCCACTCGTGCGCACCCGTGCTGAGGTCTTCCGTCACACGATGGAAGAGCCTGCCTAAGCTCCAAGATGTTTTTCTACAGAAAACCAAATGTCACACCAGTCCTTCTCATGTGACTCTTCATATTCAAGAAACTAGCATCAAGACACGAGCTGAGTTTAAGGAAGAGGAAAATTAAGACATAGAAAAGGGATGATCAGACAGGCGGTCAAACTAATCTGACATCAGTTCATTTTTGTCTTTAATAAAGATGACTTCATATTTAAAGCCACAGAACGCCACTTCCAACACTCTCATTTCTCAGAGTCGGGCCTGCAGAAACGTGGATGGAGCACAGGTTCCAGCCGCATGAATGGAGCTTGCCAGCCACCAACAAGCACAAGGCAAGCACAGGCACAAGGGGGACGCCACAGCAATGTGTAAACACCTTTTTCTGTCTATACAAACGTATCCTTTCATCTCCCACAAACCTAACAGTCTGTCCCCCCAAATCCTGGAGTGCATATTTGTTAAATCAACAAGGTACTGGGCATGTACTCAAAATGCCCACACACTCAAAATGTACACACACACAAAAGCACAGCCCATTAAACACCGTCAAACAGCTGAACTGGGAGCACTGGCGGCCAGGCAAGTACCACAGTGAAGGTCAACAGTCAGGCTTCTGCCAACCAGGAACTCAGTGGTGTTCCCACTGCGGGGTCCTGATGGCTCCAATCTGGGCCTGGCAATGTGGGAGTGCAAAGTAGAGGGGACAGGGCCCATACCAACAGAGACCCCCGACTCACACTCACAGTGCACAGGCCTGCCAGCAGTGATGGGCTCCTGTCCTAGGTGATGCTGCCCCCGCCCCCCATCACCTTTGAGAGAAACCATAGCCAGTCTGAGCGGGCCTGCTGCCGCCCCACTTCTGTTTTCCTGAGCCTTCCATGCACACTGAAGATGTTAGCAGCTTCTAAATTCTGTTTTTCAAGAGATTCAGTGAACTAAATGTGCAACTGAATGCTGTGTTTATGACAAGCTAAAACATAAACTCTAACAGGGGAATAAAAAAGCAACTACAGCTGGTACTAACATCTACTAGGTAAACAGCTCTCAGGACACAATGACATGTCAGAGATGTAACAATCCCATTTCAATCATTTAGTTATCACAGATCACGGTCTACACTTAGGAAGAAGTGGCCCGCCATGAGCATAGGACGTTCTTCCACCACGGATCAGGTGAGGACCTTTTAATATGAACATTTAATTATGTCATTTCCACTACAAGAGAAGAGTGAATCAAACTCACACATCAAAAAGCCTTACTACTTCATGCTACTAATTTATAATTTAGGATGTTTTTAGTGTATAGTAAGTAAATATAGAGTATTAAACTAATTTTTTAAAAAAGCTTTATCTGTTTTTATTGGAAAGTCAGATTTAGAGAGGAGAAACAGATCATCTGTCTGCTGGTTCACTCTCCAAGCAGCCTCAACAACCGCAGCTGTGCCATTCTGAACTCAGGAGCCAGGAGCTTCTTCCAGGTCTCCCACATGGGTGCAGGGTCACTTTCCCAAGCCAGAAGCAGAGAGCTGGATAGGAAGTGGACAGCCAGGACATGAACTGTTGTCCATAAGGGATCCTGGTGCATGTAAAGCAAGGACTTTAGCCACTAGAATACCGCACTGGGCCCTCAACTCACTAATTGTACAGAAGTTGCCTTAATTTTTTTTTTAAAGATTTATTTAAAGGGCATAGGGTAGAGTGGGAAAGAAAAGAGAGATTCCCTAGCCACTGGTTCACTCCCCAAATGCCCACAAAAGCCAAGGCTAGATCAGACTGATGCCAGGAGCCTGAAACAATCCAGGTCCCCTATGCGAGTGACAGGCGCCCAGTACATGAACCATCCCCCACTGCCTTCCCAGGCCACTGGCAGAGAGCGAGGTCAGGAGCAGAGCACCCTGGCTTGGGGTGCCAGTGCCTGCTCTCCACAACACTAGCTCTGAGGAGAAACTTTAAGAACTTTTAAGCTGGCAGAGATCTACAAAAGCAGTACTTCCAATTAGAATCTACTTCATAACTTAACAATAGCCCTATCCAGCTCCCTCCTCCTCCTCTCCTGTTCATCAGAATTGGTGAAAGAGCTTCTCATTCAACAAATGTTGAACAGTTTTAAGCACGAAAAGACAAACTTGGAGAATACTGAAAACAATCTCAATTTGGTTGTGTAAAGAATTAGTTGAATCCTGGTGAAGGTGGATCCGCGTAAGGGGCAGGAGCGGATGTGCCTGGGCAGATGGAACCTGGCAAGCCGACGTAAAAGAAGCAGAACATGCCAACCCAGCAGGCCAACCCGGCAGCCGGGGAGCCGAGGCGGCCAGCCCCTGCCGAGCACGTGGGACCGCTCCCCGGGACTAGCCCTCTCTAGTAGCTGAAGCATCTCCGTGACTTTTCACTCATTCTGCAGCCACCGAGAAAGTGCAACTCTGCCCAACGAAATGAAGCGATTCCTCTGACCAGTAAATAACAAAAATCTCATACAAAATAAGAGTTTCGAAGCCTGCGAATCAGGACATGTTTATGGGGTAACGCAGAGGGATCTAATACAGCCTTTCTGCAGTGGAACTACTATCCAATGGTTCTGAGGCAAAACTATCAAATCCACGCAATGCGTAAGGGAGACCAGAACATAAATCACTGCTCCGATGGATATATTCACTACCAATCTACGCACGGAAGTTATTCCAATTAGTAAACACACCTGGAAAATAGGCTAATACTCCTTTCACAAATACTCATCAGCAACAAAGTGAAACAGGGTTGTGGTTTTAGCAGTCTTATTTTTCAAAATGTGAACACAGCAATCCCCTCCCTAATTTTTATCCCATCCTAGCTCGCAAAGCTAACACAGACACCAATATTTGCAAGACTCCCTTGGCTGGAGTCAGACAGGTAGCCTGGGGTCACAGCCACCCATCAGACTCATGTCAGATGGCAGAGGTCACAACCCAGACCTAGCTCTGCCAGCCCTGCTCACAGGTAGTTACAGGTAAGACCCCCACGGTCTGTAAGTCTGCAATCCATCTGATTAAAAAGCAGAAAAAGTACTTTAGATCAAAGTGGCTTTGGGTTTTATCTTCCAGAACATATTACAACGTCCTAGCATTTGAGAAAATAAAGGGCGCTTTTCTCTTACTATATACAAAGACAAAAAGAAAAAAAATCTACCCTACTAATTACAGAAAATTTTTAATTTGGCCCGCTGGAGGGAAAAAAAAATGATTCTCTGCCCTTGGCACGAAGCCTTCTAATATTAATTACATCCAAAAGCAACTTCAGAGTCAGATTCCTGGAATCACAGGAATTGCTTCCCACCAACAGCAAAAATTGTGACATGTAAATAGCTAGGTAGGTTTGCTTGAAAAATCCTTTATCCCAGGGAAATAAACACTCAACTTTTTCTTCTAATGCTACAATATACTAAGAAAACAAAAGTGATCTGAGAGGAAATCAGTGTCAACGGAAGCGTTCCCAAGCATGCCCGGTGTGGCTCCACCCCAGAATGTGGGAGCCCGTCACCGGCGCCCCACTTGGCGTCAATGCTCTTCCTGTAGGACAGGAAGTTCAACCTTCACAGCACGGGCTCCATCACCGTCAGCACACTTCCCAACTCCTCGAAGCCCTGAGGCTATGCATCCATGCTGTTTGGAGGTGTACATGCTTGTTTCCATATTGCCTTGTCAAAATGGGGTATGGAAGATCCTCGGTCACTTTTATAGAAATGAGAAGATACACAAGCAACAGGCAGTCATTTCCTTCCTAGCATTCTGACCCACAGAATGGGGGCAGAGCCCTATGAGGGTGCTTCGAAAAATTGTTTGGAAAAGAAAATTATACTTATTAGGGGTGAAAAAAAGACCGTAAATCCATGCCTAAATGTTTCATAATATGCATTTCCCACAAACTTTATGAAGACCACTGGTATGCATAAACTTTTGTTATTTTTTTTAAATCAGGCATACAGAAGAGAGAGAGAGAGGAAGATCTTCTGTCCACTGATTCACTCCCCACGTGACCGCAACAGCTAGAGTTGAGTCAATAGAAGCCAGGATCCCAGAGCTCTTCTGGGTCTCCCACATAATGTAGGGTCCCATGGGCCATCCTCAGCTGCTTTCTCAGGCCAAAGAAGGGAGCTGGACGGGAAGTGGTGCTGCTGGGATTAGAACCGACGCCCATATGGGATCCTGGCACGTGAGGGCTTTAGCTGCTAGACTACCGCGCGAGGCTGCATGCATGAACTTTAAAGCTTCTTCACAAAAATTAACTCACTCCTCCATTCCATCTTTCCATGAACCCTTACCCCTCACTGGTCTTCTGAAAGTAGTTTTTACAATTCATTTCCAATCTGATTCCTCAGCAGTGTCTAACCAATTACCAGATACAGCATATGGGGTTTATTATCAAAAAAATATTTTTTTACTACATCCCTTCATCAAAGACATAAAAGAGTACAGTAGTCAATGAAATCGCCTGTATCAGTACCTTAAAACAGTCCCTGGAAAGAGTGTCTTTTCCTACATTCAATCTGTAACACTTGTGAGATTTAGGTGCACTAAAGTCTTAAAAACGAAACTTCCCGGTGAGGTGTTCAACTACACTCATTAGGCCACTGCACTCAGCATCGGGTGCCTCTCTGCGGTGGTTTTCAATGTGTTTATGTCAGTGAGAAAAAGAGCCAACTGACACGCCGGTATCGTCAGAGGCACCATGAGGCTTTACAGCAAACCCCAGGGTGCACCTTCGCTAAACGTAAGGAAGAGACTCCCAGCACCCAGAGCCAAGGAGTCGGCCTCCACCAGGCAGTTCTGTGTGGGGATGAGGAGGATACCGGCAACAAGGTATAACTCAGCCTGGAACTCATCAACAACAGGGCAAGGAAGCAGGGGTTGGCATCCAGAAGATTCTGGAATCAATCACTAAATGGAGAGAAAAGGCATCAGCCCAATTTAAAAACCACTGGGTGGATAGGAAATCTTCCAACAGAGACACTTATGGTGCCCCAGGAAGGGTAAGGGAGGAGACGGAGAAAAATCAATACCACTGTTTTCTATTTCTATTGCAAATGATTTACTGACCTTCCTTCCATCTGCTTATTGTGCTACAAGGTCAGCTATGCTTGACCTTGTCAAATAGGTATATTCATAACACAACCTCAAAAACAAGACACATTTTAAATATTTAAGATGTAATGGCCCACTCCAATCCCTACATGTGATTCAGGGGAGGTCTGTCCTCACGACACCTCAGAGGCCATGGCCACAGAGCTTTGCAAGTGGTCGATAAATCCTATTGCCAGGTATTCCGCCAAGTCACATGATGACAATGCAGTAAGGGGAGGCTCGCTAGGTTCACTGAACGTGCAGACCTTCGTGGAAGGAAGGAACCCTTCGTGGAAGGAAGGAACTTCGTACCAGGAACCCTCGGGGCTTGGGATGTTCTATGGATTTGTAAGCCAGCTCCTCACAGCAGCCTCTAGGCGAGTCACACTCCTCCACACACCCTGTTGGTGGCACTATCTCCACTCGGTGCAGCACCCTCACGTGCCTACTTCCGCCCAGCCCTGCGGGCACACCCAGAAGCTTACAGGCCGACTCCTTGGTTTTTAGCTCTAAGAAAATACACAGAAATGTCAAAGTTCTGATTTCCAAAAGCCCAGAGATTTCAGACTCTCTAGAGATCCATGAAGGCCAGGATTAAGAACTCAATCCAGTACAGAAATGAGACAAAAAATAGTCCACAGGAAGTTCTTACACATGTGGAACTGCAAGTTACATTAAAGTCAGGGTAGGAGTGCAGAGCACACACAGACACAAAACACACAGCATCCTGGGCTCCTACAAGGGCAGAGTCAGCGAGACAAGCAGCGTGCATCTCGAAGCAGATGCTCACGTCCAGAAAGATCAGAATGAGCTCAGTCCACTCAGGCCCGGCATTTATGGTCCAACCTGCAGTGCAGCTGCTGGCAACTCAGCGTGTACTAGTTAATAACATAAGTGGCAGAACTACTGGTTTTGAAAACACAAGCACAGGATACAGAAGCAAGGCTGGACATCACATCCTAAGGGTAGCGGGCTCACTAATTGCCTAGACAGAAGTGCAGTCACTCATGGCGCTCCCCGTCTCCTGGACGACAAGGGGACAGGATCGCGTGAGGCGTTACGGGGAGATGTGGTGTCTGGTGGCTGCTTTAGGTTACCTCCGCATCGTATCGGACCGCAGCAGAGAATAAGGAAAAGGCGTTCTCCACAGTAATCCCGCGCTTGATGATGTGCTGACAAAGCTTCTTCAGTCGGTTTTCACAGTAAGACGTCGCCAAATCCAGGAGGCCTGAAAGGAGAAAGCGGGGAAGCTTTGAGCGAGCTGAGAGCGACCTACCGTAACTTGCAGTTCAGAGAGCAGCTGCGAGGCTAAGTCAGCAGAAAGATCTCGATACTGTTGATGCAAGCATGCAAACGCCTTGACGCTCACCTTCTGCCATCTCTCCAAACACATCTCTTCTGGTAACCTCTTGATCCAGTTTCTTCTACAGTACAAAGGAAAAGGAAGTAGAGAGCCCTGCCCCCAATTCTGTTGCAAAATGTTGCATCCATTGGCTGCTTATGCTTTAATATTAACAAAATGTGGCCCAAAACTATGTCCGTTATTACTAATCGTGACAATGACACAACAGCATTTTAAAGACATCGAAAAGCCATGCACAAGCCAAGCGCTCTGAAATTTTCGACATTTCGGCACCCTAGGAACACGAGGAGCCCAGGGTGGCTGAGGTACCTATGGCGTCCTCAGGAGGCAGATCCACTGTGTCTGTGTAGAGGTACTGCAGAAAGGCACGGTACACAGGGTAAGAGAACTGGTCTATTTCTATCACTTCCTTCATGTCCTCATTCCAATAAGACTGGAACATGGATCGAAAGTGCTCACACCTGCCAATGGAAAAGCCAAAGTTATACACCAAACTGAGCAGACAGTCACGTGAGCCGCTCACTGCCGTATGGGGGCCCACGGGAGCCAGGTCACCCTGAGGGCACTGCAGCATGGGTGCCTGCACTCGTGCCTTCTTGCCCGCACGTAGTCTCTTTTCCGACAGCTCCTCTCCAACACTCCGCACAGCTCGTCCACCCCAGAGGTCATCCCACACCAGCAACAATGTCCATTCCCACTGGACTTTATGAGTAAATTTTCATTTTTTGCTCACTTGTTTTCTTTCTAGAACAGGCACAGAATGAGCTTTTTAAAATGAAATGAAATTCAGAAATGAGAGGTCACAACTTCTTTCCATAGATTAATATGTAAATATCTCCTTTGGTATGGTCTGTAATGTGATCTGTGGATTCTTGTGACCACAGGCAGTGCTGGCTGCCTGACAGCGGGCTCTGGGTGGGAAACATCCGGTCCGCAGGCCTGCAGAAGGTCCTGCCAAGGCAACTGCAGGAGGGACTTGAAAATCAGAAAGCCCAGAGCAGGCTCATTGTTCAGGTGATCATTGTGGACAGCCTGTGAATGCTAGAGATATCCAAACGACCACCAGTAACGGCTGCTCGGCCCTGCTCAGCCCGCACGCTGTTCCATCATCTGGCAACAAACCTCTTCCTGCTTTTCTGATACGTTTAAGGCAGTCACAACTCCAGTTTTATTTCTTGGTTGCCTTTTCCCTGTTCTCTCCTCAAGCCTCCTAACAGACTGATTTATAAACCCCTCGCACCAGAAGAGCCACGTGTTGGAAGAAAACCTAAGCGATCTCTCTGTGCTACATGGATGTGTACAAATCCACGTGCTGGTGTTGTGGTGTAGCAGGTATCACCTGCAATACAGGCATCCCACATGGGTGCTAACCAGTGTCCCAGCTGCTCTACTTCTAATCCAGCTCCCTGCTAATGGCTTGGGAAAAGCAGCAGATTGCCCAAGTGCCTGGCCCCATGCTGCCCATGTGGGAGCCTGGATGAACTCCTGGCATTGGTCTGGTCCAGTCCTTGCTATTGTGCCTATCTGGGGAGTGGGCCAGTGGGTGGAAGCTGTGTCTGTCCCTCTTTCTGTAACTCTTTCAAATAAATAAATACAAAAGTGGCGGGTGGAGATGGGTAATTATCTAAAAAAGGGATAGACTGGCTTCCTACGGTTTCACAAACACATTCCAGATTCATCTTCCCTGTTAACACCACAATCCAGATGTTGAGTTCTTATATGGAGAATAACATCGACTTCTTAGTTCTTATCAAATGAATTATTTTGCAAATAGAATTTTAGTCAAATTTTCAAAGATATAAATGGCCAACCAATGCTCTGAAGTTAATTCTGTCTCTGTAATAATCTCAGAGTGAACATTAAGATATTAATAAATGCACAGTTCCTCCCCACATTTACACAAAAGACTGTGTACCTATAAAAGTGTTCTTCAACTGGGCATTATGTCCTTCAGAGCCAGAAGCCCAGCAAGCTCACCATCAAAGTTTCCGACTAAGGGACGACAACTCTTTGGAGTGGTAGAGGGTCGTAAGTATTTAGTCCGGCCATTAAGATGCTGTGTCCTGTGTTAGGGTACCAGGATTTAATACCCGGCTCAGTTCCTGACCTCAGCTTCCTGCTAAGGCAGACTTGGGAGGCAGCAGGGATGACTGAAGGAACTGGGTTTTTCTTGCCTCACAGGACACCTGGGCTGAGACCCTGACCCCCGCTCTCAGCTCAGCCCAGGCATGCGAGGGGTTCAGCGCGTGAGCTCCACTGTTTGTCCATGTCTCAGATAAACAAATATAAGAATAAAGAACACACACTTGCATTCACTTAACAATCTTTCCTATATTTTTTAACCATGTAAATTTTCTAGCAAAACTAGGTATCTACAAGGTCCTCAATTTAACAAACAATGTAGACAAATATTTACAGACCTTTGTTAACACTTTTTTAAAAAGAAGCATGAGAACACATGCAAAATGCTTTTAAGTAAGAGCTATCAGCCAAAGTATTAAGTTGTGAGATTTGTACTGTCAAGGCTATTTATCACTAGTATGTATTTCACGGAATAACAAACAAGTGGAAACTGCAAACGGAAGGGAAGTTTACTGATGTCTTTGAGCTCATGCAGAAGTACCTGATTTTCAAAACAGCTTTATGGACATGAATGTATTTCCCATCAATTCGAAACTTCAGGTCGGCAGTTTCTGGACTATCAAATTCTTTCTTCAGTGACTCCGCCACGGTTAAAAAGTCTTCATGCTCTGAAGGCAACAAACACGCCATGAACATGGAGAACCAGGACAGACTCGGGTCTGAGAGGCTTAAATGAGATCATCAGCATGTTCATTTCATTTTTCTTTTTCAAGAGAGTCTATGCATTATTTGGCAAGTTAACTTCGTTACTGAAACTACCAAAAATAAAGGCCAAATACTAGTCTTACATGCTTAGCCAGGTAATAGAAGTGTGTATTAAAAAAAAAAGTCTTTTTTAAATATTATTTTTCATGATACAATTCCTTAGGCTCAGGGATTTCTCCTTCCACCCACTCCCTCCCTTCTCTGCCGCACACTGCTTCTCACTGTATCGTGACAATAGTCACAAGTCCATTATTCTGCTGTTTAAGTGTATCTTAACATTGTAGGTATGGAGAATGCTGTAAAGTCCAGCGTTCTAGTGTCAAGATATACTTAACAGTCTCATCGGGAGTCCACATTTTATCTACAAGTATAGGAAGTATACTGCAATGTATCTCCACTTCATGTATACTTGCCTCCATCACACAGACCCTCTAGTAAATATATGTATGTACATGCCTACCTATACATCTGTGATCTTGTATTTTGCATGAAGGTTGACATTATATCAGGGAGAACATATGATATTTGTCCTTTTGGTTTTCGTTTATTTCACTGGGCATTAAGTCTCTAGTTGAGACCATTTTGTTGCAAATGGTAGAATTTCATTCTTTTTAAAGACTGAGTAGTATTCCATAGAGTAGATACACCACAATTTAAAGCTTGTCTTAAGGGTTGGCTGTCACTTTAAACCTATGCTCTTGAAATCTGAGGGGTTTGTTTTCAGGACTAAGAATCAAGGAATTTTCCTTTACTGAAACACAAGCTGCTACTTTGCTCTGTTTTGGCAGTAGCTGCAAGGGTGGACATGTTCAACTGAATGAGGCTCAGCAAACAGACTTGCAACCCACATGGGAATGTTGGACAATTAGAACCATAAGCAGAGAAGCTGCTTCATGAGTATATGAAACCCAAAGATTCCTTTAGCCTTAAATATCAACATACAAAATATAACCCACTACCAGCTAGAAGGAGAGATTTACTTAGGGACAGCACTTAGCAAAGTGAACATACGCTCACATCACCTTGTAGGAAAACTGCTGTTGGGATTAAAGGCAAGAAGAACTGTGCTACACAGAGGCAAGACATTTGTACAAATTAACCATGCAACACTTTTTAGTGGAAGAAGGGGGAGAAGTGGAAGGTGCTAGCAGGGAACTCATGAAGCCCCAGAGTGTCAGGAGCCGTGTACTATAGCCACACTGAAGCCATTTTGAATATAGAACTATGGGCCAGTGGAAAATCCCCAGCTGGCTAGATGCTTGGGAAAGAAGTTATGAAACTAATCACACGCTTAGCTTCAATTGTTTGTAGCAACTGTTTTAGAATGTGATTTATGCTGTACCTGCCAACATCTTGTTATTGATTACCTATGCTATTGTTAATATGCTGGTTACTATTGTTGATATGGTGACTGCTCAAGAACAATCGGTCTGGAGACCATGGCTTGCATCCTAGTTTCTCCTTTCCTCCCTGAGCCTTAGTTACTGAAGAGTATAAAAACTCTCAATTAAAATCAATAAACTGACAGCTTGATCAGACATCCTGTCTTGCTGTCCATTCTTCGTGTCTCTTGTCCCCCAATCTCTCCTAGGTGGTTGCGACCCCCGTTGACTGTCCTGCTGGACAGGACAATTTGGCGTCCAACGTGGCTGGTGTGCAGACCACCGACAGGGAGATCGCCACGCAAAAGGAAAGGCCTCTCGAAGTGGTGTTGAATAGAACACCAGCTGAGCAGTTTCACGGTTGACCCGCCGGAAGTTGTGCTCAGGGAAATTCGTGGCTCAAATCTTACGGAGTTAAGGTAAGATGGGACAAGCATTATCACAGCAAGAACTATTCTTGCAAGGTCTTATAGACTCATTCAAGACACGAGGAATTCGGGTGAAAAAGAAAGACCTCAAAACCTTTTTGGATTTTGTTGGTCAGATTTGTCCCCGGTATCCCCAGGAAGGTTCAATTAATGAGAAAACTTGGTGTAGAGTAGGTGATTGTTTTAAAGATTATTATGAGGTTTTCGGGCCTGAAAAAATTCCTGTTACTGCCTTTAATTACTGGACTTTGATTTATGATATCTTAAAGATGAAGTCTCAGCATCCAGATTTACAGAATCCGGCTTCTGAGGGAGAATGATCTCTTCAGGAAAACTGTTCTCAGCTGTCCGCCCCACCCCCCGCCTTCCCCTGGGTCTCGACCTTCTGTCATTATAGACACTGAGGCAGAATCCAATGCCAAATCGCTTCATCAATCCGCCCCAGAAACTGTACGCTCTCAGATTGATAGCCAATCACAACGCCTCCATCCATCTCTCACAACAGTTCGCAGTTCTCCCCATGACAATCCTTTCCCCTCTGAGGAGGCTGCCTTAGAAGGTGAAGCGGCCAAAAATGAGTTTGATCCCCTCCATGACCTACCAAAATTATCTCACACCTCCCTACCAAGTGCCCCAGGAGAAAGGGAGATGCCTTTGTTCTCTCTCCCACCACCTTATAATCAACCTCTTGTCAGTTCTGAGCTACGAGAGATAGTAGATGGACTCACTGCTTTGCGCCAAATGGCTAAGCAAGAGCAGGTTGAGCTCATGAAACAGTTGCAAGTCTTAGAAAGTAGATTAACTGGTCTTAAATTTAAACCAGAAGGCAATGCCACTCCAAAAGTTTTAGCCTTTCCCTTATCTCTCCGTAGTGGCGCTAGAGTCCCTAGAGACTCTTCCCCTCCTCCCAGAGAACAAAGTCCACCTAGAAGTATAGAGGAAAAAAGTGAGGGCGGCATTAAGGATGAAATTCAGTCAGAAGGCCATGAGTCGGATACCCACCAAGACATTGAGACTGGAGATCAGCGACCCCGAGTTCCGATGCACGGGCATTTACCCCGTTCACCTTATATTTACCAACCCTTAGATGCAAAAATTTTAGAAAGGTTAAAAGCAGCAGTCACTACCTATGGCCCAGTTGCCCCCTTTACTTTAGCGCTATTAGAATCATACACTGAAGGCTGGTTAACACCAAGAGAATTTACTCACCTAGCTAAAGCCTCCCTCTCTGGAGGAGATTTTGTGTTGTGGAAATCCAAGGCAGCTGATGCAGCCCAAGAAATAGAGGCAAAAAATCGTCAACGTCCTGAATCCCGAGATTGGACAGCTAGACGAATCTTAGGGAAAGAACCTTTTAACACCTTAGAAGCACAAATGCAGTACCCTACCGGTTTGCTCTCCCAAGTCCGTCAGGTTTGCCTTACGGCTTGGAAGCGACTGCCAGATAAGGTGGGTTCATCATCTAAACTTACTATAATCATACAAGACCCAGAGGAACCCTACAGCTCCTTTATTAATCGCCTGACAGAGGCAGCAGAGCATTTATTCGGTCCACAAGAATTAGCCCATTTCTTAAACAACTTGCTTTTGAAAATGCTAATGTCACTTGCCAAGATTTATTAATGCACCATCACAGTAAAACTCTGGCGGAATACTCCGTCTCTGTTCTGGAGCTGTTACTCCTCGCCTTGCTGTAGGCACAGCTCTGCAAAGAACAGACGCTACCAACACTTGCTATTACTGCAAGCAGCCTGGCCATTTTCTAAGGGATTGTCCTCAGATAAGAGGCCCTATCAGGTCCCAAGCACCCCCTCAGACAGCCCCTCAAAAACAACCATCCACTTTATGCCCACGCTGCCGTAGAGGCCGCCATTGGGCTAGTATTTGCCGCTCCTGCACTGATATTTGTGCACGTCATCGCTTTCCCTTCCGTTCGGGAAACTTCCAACGGGGGCAGCTCCCCGCCCCCTTGCCTCGGATGAACCCCGGGGGTGTGAGGTTCATCCCATCCCAAACTGCCTCCCCACCACAGCCAGTAACTCAGACAAAAAATGCATTTCCCAATTATGGAGAGCCACAAACGAAAGCCCAGGATTGGACCTCTGTTCCTCCTCCAGTACAATATTAAAGCCAGAAGATGGTGTACAAGCTATACCCACAGGTGTTTTTGGCCCTCTTCCTCCCAATACATTTGGATTAATAGTGGGCCGATTTACATTAGCTAATAAGGGCCTTCACATAATTCCTACCCCAATTGAACCAACATTTAAATTGAAAGTTCTCGCCAGAATTTTTGAAGGTGCTTTAGCTATCACCCCATGCTTCCCGTTAGCACAGTTAATTCTTTTACCAGCTTTCCCAAAACTTTCCAATCCTTGCTATCAATCTTCTCGAAAGATTAATGAAACAGGTGTAGCTGAGGTTTTTTGGGCACATAAAATTTCTCCTCATACTCGGCCAACCCTGACTCTTAAGTTAAATGGCAAAGCTTTTACAGGCTTCCTTGACTCTGGCGCTGATGCTACAGTTATTTCTTCAAAGTTCTGGCCAAAGGCCTGGCCCTTGAAAAATTCAGTCACTCATCTTCAAGGCATAGGGCAGGCTAATAGCCCCCTAGTTAAGTTCCCAAGCCTTGACCTGGACTGACCCAGAAGGGAACACAGGTATTGTAACACCATATGTTGTTTCAGAATTGCCTGTTAATCTCTGGGGGAGAGATATCCTCTCTCAAATGAATGTTATCATGTGTAGCCCTAACGAAGCTATTACAAAACAGATGCTTAGAGAAGGTTTTCTCCCTGGTCAAGGCTTGGGTAAACAGTCTCAAGGAATCAAACAGCCCATACAGGTTACACAAAAATCTGATAAGACAGGTTTAGGCTTTTCAGCTTCACCCAATGAAAACGTACAAAATTTTCCCTAGCGACCACTGTTCGTCCTGCCCCATCCAGACATGCTGACAAGATCTCATGGAATACTAGTGTGCCTCTTTGGGTTGATCAGTGGCCGCTGAACCAAGAGAAACTTGTCGTGGCTAGGGAGCTGGTGCAGGAACAGCTCTCCGCAGGACACATTGAGCCCCCCTCTTCCCCC